AGGACAGACTATCAACACATGGGACCCAGGACATTGACTGTCCACATGGAGCCATGAACAGTGACTCAGCACCTGGGGCCCAGGAGAATAACTCAACACAGGGCCCAGGACAGTGACTCCACATGGGGCTCAGAATAGTGACCCAACAGGCTGAGGATTTAGCTCAGTCATTTTGCCACATGATACACAGGCACAAGGACATGAGTTCGATCTCTGGCACCAAAATAAAGGTTCAGCACACAGGGCCTAGGTCAGCTACTCATCACATGGGACTCAAGACAGAGACTCAATACATGGGGCTCAAGGAAGTGACTCAACACATCCTGTCCTGGATAAAGAACATGGGTCCAGGACAGAGTTTCAATATGTGGGACCCAAGACATTGACTCAACCCATGGGACCCAAGAGAGCAATTCAACATATGGGAGCAAGGACAGAGACAAAATATGAGGGCCATAATAGCAACTCTACACATGAGGCACAGGGCAGTGACTCAAGACAAGGAGTTCAGGACAGGGAATCAGCACATGTGGCTCAGGACAGACAGTCTCCACATGGAACACAGAACAGAGACTCAACACATGGGTGCAAGGATGGAGACAACACAGTGAACCCAGGACAATGACTCCACACAAGGGTCCAGAATGGAGACTTGGCACACAGGGCCGAGAACAGAGACTCAACTTATGGAGCCCAGGAAAGGGACTGAACACATGGAGCCCTGGACAGAGAGACTCAACACGTGGCCCAGAACAGTGACTCAAAATATGGGTCTGAGGAGAGTGAATGTACACATGGGGCCCACGATAGCAACTCTCCACATGCTGTCCAGGACAGAGATTCATCCCATATCCCCAGGTCAGCGAATCAACACATAAGGCTCAAAACAAAGTCAGCACATGGTATTGGAAGCTGCACAAACTTCCAATCACCTGGCCAAGGGTACAGCAGCAGGATAACAAAAGACCAGACAGGATCCCTGCTGCACAAATGGGGAGCCTAGGGCAGTCAGAGTTCTTCTCAGGCTAAAACACTGTACCCTGGAGCTTTCTTGGAATATACAGCTTTTTGAAGGGATAAAGGGCAGTGCAGGGAACAGTGCAGTGAAAAGCACTGATGCGAGCAGGGTCCTAGCAACAAGGGAATAAAACATTCCAGCAGGAACAGCTCATACAATGAGAAATTTGGTTTTTCCTATAGATTTCTGCCTCCATAGGAGTTCTCTGTGTGAGTCATGCTGCCCTTACCTGCACTATTGTCTTGCCATTCAAGACATCACAACATCACAGATCATTGAGACCTCTGCTGTGACCAGTGGTGTGGGGAATTGTTCTGTTCCCACACAACAACTGCTGGCTCTCAGGCAAGCCATTGTGGGCTAATAGGCAGACTCAGACTTTTAATATGAAAAGCCAGTTTATGAATTTGTAACTCAGGTTGGTCTCCATCAACATGAGGCCCAGGACAGCAACTCAATTCACAGGGCCCAGTACAGAAACTCGACCAATGGGGCCCAGGTCATTACCTTAACAATTTGGGTCCAAGGCAGGAATTTAACACAATAGTGCCCAGGACAGTGACTCAACACATAGGGCCTAGGACAGTGACTCAACATGAGGCCCAAGACATTGAACACATGGGATTCAGGACAGCAACTCAACCCATGGGTCCAGGTCAGTCTCAACACGTGGGACTCAGGCCAGCAACTCTCCATGTGGGGCACAGGACTGTGGCTCTCCACATGGAGCCCAGGACGGTGAGTCTACATGTTCAGGGGCCCTGGGTGCTAGCTCGACAGGGAGATTCCTGGGCCTCCAATCCTAGAGGAACCTGTGAGAGTCAAGGAAAGTATCTGCATTTTTGACCAGGAACACATGGGAACTTCAAGAATTCCTG